GCTACAATCGGCCGCGGCCGATTGTTTCCAGGTTTCTTACCTCCGAGGCGGTGGACCCGGTGAAAAGTGATGGATTTAACCGCGTCACTCGGCAACTTCAGCTGATTCTGGATGAAGTCACAGACGGAGGCCTCAGAGACCTCGTCAGCTCGCTCTGGTATTCCCGAGAAGACGAGGTTATCCCTCATGCTCCGGGCTTGGATATCCAGGATCGATTATTTTATTTTTTTATTATCCCCGGATAGCAGCGTCATCTCCTCGGTGAGTTGTTTTACCGTTCCTCTAAGCTCCTGATTTTCACTAGCAAGTAATGCTACCTGTTGTTGGCTGAATTCCAAAGACTCCCTGAGGCCTTGAAACTCTTTATGCAGCATCTCTACTAACGCTAGTCGGGCGTCTAAGCTAGTTAGCTTCTGGTCAATTGACTCCAATATCTCCTTTAAACCTGAATTATCAGGAGACGGTGCTGTAACGCTGTCTGAGCTTCCCTGTCGATGCCGTTTAGCAGTGGGGATGTTAGCTGAATCGCTAGCAGCACCGGATGGTCTGCATATTTCCACCTTCGAAATATCAACCGTCTCCGTCCATCCCTCTCTCCACACTCTGCTTCCATCCTGGTCCACAGTCTGGTCATTTCTCGAATCGATTACTGTAACTCTCTCCTCTTTGGTCTACCTCACAAATTAATCCGTAAGCTTCAAATGGTTCAAAATTCAGCTGCCCGCATCGTCACCAAAACCCCCTCATTTAACCACATCACCCCAGTTTTACAGCAACTTCACTGGCTTCCAGTCACATTCAGAATTCAATTTAAAATCTTGTTGTTCACTTTCAAAGCTATCCACAACCTCGCCCCTCCTTACCTGTTAGATCTCCTGCACATTACCACCCATTCACGCTCCCTTCGTTCTTCCACTTCCATCCACCTTAACGTGCCTCTTGTCCGCCTCAGCACCATGGGACACAGAGCCTTTTCTCACTCTGCTCCCCAGCTCTGGAATGCTCTTCCCCCGGACATCCGTAACATTGACTGCCTTCTGACCTTCAAATCAAAACTCAAAACTCATCTGTTCAAGCTAGCCTTTTCGCTTTAACTGTTATTTTTAACTGTTATTTTCTTTTTGGTTTAGTGTTTTTTAATAGTTATTTTATATTGTTTAGTACTGTGTTTTTAGTGCTGTGAAGTGTCCTTGGGTGTTTTGAAAGGCGCTGACAAATAAAATGCATTATTATTATTATTATTAAGTTTTCGTATGTTGCCATGTTTTAATGTATTTGTTTGTTTTATATTTTGTTAATTTCTTGTTTGTGAAGTTATGTCAATGATTTATCATCTATCATCTCCTGAACTCATTTTAGTCTTTCCAGATCTTTCAGATCTTTTATTATTTTAGCCTGAGATCCTTCCTGTATTTTGATCCAAATGTTTCCATTTCTTGTCCAAGTTGATGCTATTTTTTTCTGTTTTTTCAACCACCTTGCTTCACGTGTAATATTTCCATTTTTTTTAGTTAGGTGTTCGTTTATGTAAACATTTGTTCCCTTCAGTTTTTTTGCTTGCATTATTACCTTGTTTTTCTTGATTTTCTGCTAATGAACTTGATGACTATGGATGGTTTGGCTTTATCTGATTTGTTGGGCAGTGTGTGACAGATTGAAATGTCCTCATGTTCGATGTCAATGTCTTTGTTTTGTAAAAAATTCACTGCTTGCTCCTCCAGCGTCTGTAGTTCTTCCTGTGGTGCATCTTCTGCTGTGTTAGTACCAGCAACAACTCTTGCATAACTCCGGTTCCTAACTTCCAGTCCAGTGATCACCAAGTTGTCTATTTTTGTGTATTGTTCCATGTCGTCTACTTTCTGTTCCAGTTCAGCTATTTTTCTGTCTTTATTAGTCATCAGTTCTTTCAATTGTTTCACTTCATCAGACAGTCCTGTCAGTAATTCACATTTAGCTGATAATTTAGTCACATCAGCACTCAATTTAGTCAGTTCAGCACTCAAAAAGTTCAAAGATTTTTTAACTTCCTCCATATCTTCTGAAATATTTTCCGACATTTGTCACTTATCTCTGTGTTTGCTCGGCATTACTCACGATACTTCTGGATTGTTGGTCTCAACTCTCAGAAGCACAGGATCCAGCCACGAGGTTCACAGGCTTATGTTGTTAGCCACGAGGTTCACAGGCTTATGTTGTTAGCCGAGGCCTAGCGGCAACAACCTCCAGGTCCCACGCGGTCTCACGATTCACTCGGTCCAGCAGTTCGCAGCCCCAACGGTGACAGACCAGGTCCCGGTTGCAACAGCTCCCAGATCCGACAGCTGTAGCTCGGCTCCCTTGGCCTCAGCTGCTCGCAGGTCCAATCGGCGGCAGACCGGTTCTCTGCTGCAACAGCCCCCAGGTTCGACAGCTGCAGCTCGGCTCCCTCGGTTCCAGCGGCCTGCAGGTCCAAACAGCGGCAGGCCGGGTCCCGGTTGTAACAGCTCCCAGATCCGACAGCTACAGTTCGACTCCCTCGGTTTTCAGCGGCTCGCAGGTCCAAACGGTGGCAGAGCGTGTCTTCGCTGTGACAACCCCCAGGTCCTCTCACTCGATCCAACGGCTAGCGGCGGTAGCACTCACCCGGCCTCACTGGCCGAAGCAGCTCCCAGGCCGGCTCGTTAGTTCAACTCGTGGCTCAGCTTCCACGGTTCAGAGCGCGAGGACTTCCTTCTTACACCTGTTCCGTACATATATATATATATGTGTATATATATATATATATATATATATATATATATATATATATATACACACACATGCACATATATATATATATATATATTATTTATTCATATATATATATATATATATATATATATATATATATCTCCAAGTTTGAAGTCAGTTAGGAGTCAGTTTGTATAGTTAGTTAGAGATCGTCAGGAGCTCAAGTCAACACCTCCTACTCCATCTCCGCCATCTTGTCCTCCCAGGAGTCAAATGTTAAACAACAAAGCCAATGTGTCTAGAAATGCTCACTGGTGACACATCAAAAATCTGGTGCAGATTAGCTGATATATCACTGAGACATAACTGTAAGAATAATGTAGGGGGCGCTGTGGAGGCTATTGGCCACTTATTATAGATTCCTGTTCAAGGGGTGGATAATGATCAATCAAAGTGATTTTGGTGCACCTCGGCTCAAATCTGTGCAATTTAGAGCCAAACGTATTGCAACAGAGTCACTTCTGAATTTGTCACGCTGCCACGTCCACATCCTCCAGCGAAAACTGTTTTTAATTTAAACCAAGTCAGACCAACTTGTTATATGTCTTCTAACACAGGATCATACTGATTAGGTCAAGGGTTTCAGAGAGAGAGAGCATTCCAAGTAAAAAAAGTGACTTCCTGTAATTAGGGGGCGGGGCTTTGATGATGGCAGAATATGATCATAGAGTATCGTCAGACATCCAACAGGGATGACTCATGCCAAGTTTTGTGCATTTCGGTCTTTCAATGTGAAAGTTATAGCGTTTGGAAATTTATGGTGTGAACCACAACTTTGAGGCCTGGCCACGCCCCTTTAACATGTACGAAAACACAAGCTTTTGATAACTTTTACTCCCCAATGTGTTAACGGCATATTAGCCAATTTTGAAGGTAATTCTTCCAAATACCTAGGAGGAGTTGGTTAAAATTTGCAATTAGAAATGCCCAAAAATGACCCTTTGACCCAAAATGGCCAACTTCCTCTTCAGTTTGGACCATGGCTCCAAGAGACTTTTTCATAGGTCCTGAGAAGATACATATGTTCCTCAATTTTTAGAATTATCGGTCAAAAAATGGCTTGGGGCTGAAGTTTTAAAATATTCTAGGGGGCGCTGATGAAGCGTTTGCCCACTTATCATGGATTACTGTTCAAGAGGTGGATAATGATCGATTATACTGATTTTTGTGCATCTCAGCTCAAATCTGTGCAATTTAGAGCCAAACGTATAGCGACGGTGTTACATCTTACTTTGCCATGCCACGCCGCCCACATGTTCCACCCAAAACTATCAGTGTTGGAACGCAAGTTACACCAATTTGTCTTCGGTCACTGGACACACTATCATGCTGATTAGATGACAGGGGTCAGATAGGGACCGTTCAACGTAAAACTTTACACTTCCTATTCTAATGGGACGTGGCATAAGTGATGTCATGATTTGACCATTTAGTCTTGTAGGGGACTGGATGTGGATCAATCACTGAAGGTTTGATGTGTCAGACAGTTCTTGTGTAGGAGCTGTTAACATTTCGTTTTTCATGACGAGATGTAAAACTTTGAGGTCTGGCCCCGCCCATTCAGCATACTCCGAAACGCACCGTTTAGATAACTTTTTGACCCCCATACCTTTTGAACAAAATGGTCAAGTTTGAAACTGATTGAGCGAAATCCCTAGGAGGAGTTCGTTCAAATGCGGAGGCTGTAAACCGCCAATAAGGTGTGAAATGTTGGATGGCATTCCAAAATGGCTGCCTTCCTGTTTATTGTACAATGTTGGTGCCAGAGGGTTTTCTGTACATCTTGGGGAATTGGACAAGTGTCCCAAATTTCATGCTTCTACGACAAACTAAGGTTAATGCGGAGGGTGTTTTGAAAATTTCCAGGTGGCACTCTTGAGCCGTTTCTGTTGCGAATTTTGCGACACTCTTAAAATACGTAATTTTTCAGCAGTCCTGACGCATCCGCCAAATTTTATGAGTTTTGGGGTATGTTAAGTCCTCCAAAAAGCCAATTCATTTGACGGAAAAATTGCTCAGGCCTAATGAACTGAGCAGTTACAATAAGCCTTCGCAGCGCTTCGCTGCTCGGGCCTAAAAAAATGGTATTAAAAAAGTAACAAAAACAGCTAGGTTGTAAGACGAAGTAGAAAACTAAAATCTTGTTTCTGAGAATAATCCAAAACGAAACAAGCTCATATGGATGAAAAAATTTATTTATAAAAAAAACCCAACAGTATAAAACAGTAATGTTTTCATATGGAGTCTGTAATAAAAATCCTGTCAAAAAGATGACAGAAAGTGATCGTGCTCTCCTGAAGGATAAAATTAAGTGTGTTTGTATTTCATGCACTGGAGTGTGTGAATAAAGGACGTTTCCATTCTAAATAAATTCACAGGATAATGCAGTTCATATTCAGTTCACACAAGATCATGTTAATTTGGATGTTTTGGTCATTTTTTTGTGATACAAAACAATATAATAGACATAAATATGCATCAACCAAAATAAAACAAAAGTTGATATTTTTAGAGGGTATGTTTAAGACAAAAATTCTAAGAATGGGGTCACTGCCGTTTGAGATGGTTATTGATAAAAGTGTTATGCTGCTGGACAGGTTCCAATGCTGACAGCTCCACTGACCAGAACTGCCTTGCTGAGGCTTGCCTGGCTCTGGTTGATGATCACGTTCCTCATGCAGCCCACATAGGGCTTCCTGGTGGCAATGCTGTCTGGGAGGAACAGATCTAAGAACAGGAAAGATTGATGAGGAAAGATGTGGCTGTAAAAAGGAAACTTACGAAAGCTGCTGCTCTTGCCCACTCACCTGGAGCTCCACCAATAAACACTGGCTTCTTTGTGTCTGTGGAACTGGGATTCACAGGCCCCACAGCATGGCGAATCTCAGAGTCTACGTCCAGCTGGACAACGTTGCCATTTCGAATTACTGTGGGCACAAAGTATATCAGGTTAAAGTATTTATTTTAAATTTTGTATTTCAGGTGTTTACTTCATTCAGTCACACTCATTCATATCAAAAGGAACCAGTTGAGGTGGTTCAGGTATCTGGTAAGGATGCTTCCTAGGCGCTTCCCTAGGGAGGTGCTTCGGGCATGTCCGACTGGGAGGAGACCCTGGAGATGACCCAGGACCTGCTGGAGAGAACTGTAAAGCATGGTGGTGGTACCACAATGATGTGGTATTGGTGCAACGCAGAAAGTAGATGGAATACTGAAGGACAACTTCACCTCAAATAAGAGCAAATTAAGGCTACTATGTGCATGTAGTCGGAAAATGATTAAACAAAAATAATGTTATTTACTGTTCTGCCCAATGCAAAAGGTTAAAAATAGTTAATAGTTTAGTGATAAAAATGTAATAATTCCTCTGTAATGATTCATGTAAAAAAAATGATGGTCATTTATTTAATAAGTTCTATGCAGTCAGTGTTGGTTTATTTGTGTTTTATTTTGAAGGTGAAGTCTGAGGTTGCAATGCATTGTGGGTAGCAGAAGCAGTAGGAAAATCATTTTATAGAGATAACCTGCCTATTTGTGTATAAACTTTACCTCCTGCGTACTAAATCTTTATTTACACCTTTAAAAGCAATGGCTGTAAGACTAATCTATGTTCTGGTTAACATTATATGCCAGTCACTAACATTGCAAAACAATCCACGGCAACAACAGCAGCATGATTCTCATAGGTTCACAGAGAATTAGTGTGGGTTCTCTTAAATACCCCAAGTGGGGAGTGTTATGCTCTCAGTTTTTCTGTTTGGATAAGTTCACTGTGATTGGTTTAGTTTTTCTACCTGTTGGAATTAATCAGAAGCACATGCTGGGAATCAGGAAGTGATTTAGCATGTTTAGTCTCAGCTGTCTGTGTGCATTCTGCATCTTTTCATTCATTCAACCTTTATTTAAACAGATAAATCACAATGAGCCTCAAAGACTCATTTACAAGGGAGACCTGTTTGGACGGACAAAAAAGTGGTAAACTGGACACATGTAGGAATTGGAGGAGAAAAAAATTCCTATCAGACTTTTTTTTTCCTGCCTGAGAAAAAAAAACCTAGAAAACACCTGGCACAAACAAGCACATAGTGACATAGACATTCTGCAGGGGGGGGGGGGGGGGGGGGAGAGCGATCAGCATGTTCATAGATGCTCTTGAGGGCACTGTAAGAGTTCTGATAAGGATGGCATAATTAGTCAATGTCCTCTGGTGAGATCCATAAGCATTAGAGGTATGTCAAGGAATGGCCAAGAATAACGTCTATGAGAATCCAAAAGTCCTGAAATGATGACACAAGTTTATTCAGCTGGTTTCATCTGGTTATCAGTTGGAAATTCCTCAGGGAGGGGGTGGTGAGCATCAGATCACATTTTCTCCAAGCGAATTCAGATAAGATGACCTTCAAGGCCAGCTAAGGGAGCCAAATTCAGATAAACACACAGTTGTTTTGGGGACAGGCAGAACTTAATGACATCTACCTTGAGTCTGTGTTGGTCGACTCGGTTCCGAAATGTCCAAATTACATGGCCACACCGATGGAACGTGACTGAATAAAATCCCCAAGGTCTGATCCATTCTGCCCAAAGCATTTGAGTCCGGGTACTCGAGACATGAACCAAGCCATCATAAAGGCAAGCAGCGTGATCGGGTCCAAATTTGCTGCAGACGACTTCCTTGATTGATTGATAAAACCAGCAACCAGCCGAATCAAAAAGCAGGACCCAGTTATCAAAAATCCTATTAAATATGCATCCTTAACATCCGCAAATGGCAGCAGAGATAGACACATCATCAAGTCTTCCAAGTCGATGAGATATCCAGCTGCGTGTGTGCCAACAGGGCAAATCGGCTCACCTAAAGCCTGTCTTCTCTTCAAAGAAATGTTGTAAATTTAGTTGAGGGACCAATTGATCAAAACAAGACCATAATTATGGTTCGGAAGATATGCAAGAGAGTCTCACAAGCAGTTTCACAGACAGACAGAGCAGCAAAGCGGAGAGGTTGGGGAGGGGAGAAGCATCTATGGTCATGCTCACTGCTCTCATCGTTCCCCTCTGCAGAATGTCTACGTCACTATGTGCTTGTTTGTGAGAGGTGTTTTTTAATATCAGAGTTTTTTCTTCTCAGGCAGGAAAAAAATATCTGATAGGAATTTTTTCGCCTCCAATTCCTACGTTTCCAGTTTCACTACTTTTTGTCTGTCTAAACAGATCTCATTTACCCTTTATTTATACAGGTAGTCTCATTGAGACACGAGAACTCATTTTCAAGAGAGTCCTGTTTAGGGAGCAGATGGGGGGTTAAGGGGCTTGCTCATGGGCCCAGGGTAGGGCGAATGAGGATGGGGCAAGTGTGGGTGCTTCACCTACCCCACCCACAATTTTTGAAGTTGGCGGGGCCGGGGCGTGAACTGCCATCTTCGGATCACAGGCCCACCTCTCTAACCTCTGCGACACCACTTCCCCTCAAATCTCACTCATCTCAATCATCAATCTCATCTCACTTGTAAATGAGTCTTCTAGGCTCAATGTCAGAGTCAGAGACTCTTTGTCATTCGCACCTCATGTGGTACATGTGGTGGAGCGAAATTATGTACACAAGGTCCCAGTTACATCCAACAATAAAATGTATAAGAAAAACAGTAATAACATCTAAGATATGAACTAAGAAAAACATCAACTAAATATACACTAAGCACTCATGTGACTTATGTGACTTATCTGTTTAAATAAAAGGTTGAATGAAAAAAACGTGTACATCCATATTCAGTTCCTAAAAATAAAGCAATCAGTTATTAGTTATGATGGTAGAGAAAAAAGGGTGTGGTAATACAGAAGGCAAATATTCACTGGATAAGACCTGGTGAGACCTTCCACTTTATTAGGTTCTGTCCCCTCAACACATGTTGTGACAGTTCTTTAGGTAAGTAGTTGAGCACAGGAGACCACATATCAGAGAAATATTTTTCATTCCCCTTAAGGAATGCACAAATCCTTTCATGTGGGAGGACCCTAAATAATTCTCTGTACAACTGTATAACAGTTGGTGGTTTATCTTTAATCCAATTGATCAAAATGCATTTCCTAGCCAATAGTAGCAGATTGTCACAAAGTTTGAAGTGTGAATGTGTAAGAGTGACTGATTTTGATGAGAGAACAAGGAGTAATAATCCTGGGTCAAGGCTGACCCTGACACAAAACTCGTCACTCAGCTCTTTAGAGATTGCAGCCCAGAGTGCTGGGTCTTGCGTCTCTCAACTTTCTCTTCACAATATCCCACAGGTTCTCTATGGGGTTCAGGTCAGGAGAGTTGGCAGGCCAATTGAGCACAGTAATACCATGGTCAGTAAACCATTTACCAGTGGTTTTGGCACTGTGAGCAGGTGCCAGGTCGTGCTGAAAAATGAAATCTTCATCTCCATAAAGATTTTCAGCAGATGGAAGCATGAAGTGCTCCAAAATCTCCTGATAGCTAGCTGCATTGACCCTGCCCTTGATAAAACACAGTGGACCAACACCAGCAGCTGACATGGCACCCCAGACCATCACTGACTGTGGGTGCTTCACACTGGACTTCTGGCATTTTGGCATTTCCTTCTCCCCAGTCTTCCTCCAGACTCTGGCACCTTGATTTCCGAATGACATGCAAAATTTGCTTTCATCCGAAAAAAGTACTTTGGACCACTGAGCAACAGTCCAGTGCTGCTTCTCTGTAGCCCAGGTCAGGTGCTTCTGCCGCTGTTTCTGGTTCAAAAGTGGCTTGACCTGGGGAATGCGGCACCTGTACCCCATTTCCTGCACATGCCTGTGTACGGTGGCTCTGGATGTTTCTACTCCAGACTCAGTCCACTGCTTCCGCAGGTCCCCCAAGGTCTGGAATCGGCCCTTCTCCACAATCCTCCTCAGGGTCCGGTCACCTCTTCTCGTTGTGCAGCGTTTTCTGCCACACTTTTCCCTTCCCACAGACTTCCCACTGAGGTGCCTTGATACAGCACTCTGGGAACAGCCTATTCGTTCAGCATTTTCTTTTTGTGTCTTACCCTCTTGCTTGAGGGTGTCAATGATGGCCTTCTGGACAGCAGTCAGGTGGGCAGTCTTACCCATGATTGCGGTTTTGAGGAATGAACAAGGCTGGGAGTTTTTAAAAGCCTCAGGAATCTTTTGCAGGTGTTTAGAGTTACGTCGTTGATTCAGATGGTTAGGTTAATAGCTTGTTTAGAGAACCTTTTCATGATATGCTAATTTTTTGGGACAGGCATTTTGGGTTTTCATGAGCTGTATGCCATAATCATCAGTATTAAAACAATTAAAGACCTGAAATATTTCAGTTGGTGTGCAATGAATCTGAAATATATAAAAGTTTCATTTTTATCATTACATTATGGAAAATGATGACCTTTATCACAATATGCAATTTTTTTGAGAAAGACCTGTAGGTGTCAGGAGTGAGGAACAATGTCTGCTGCCTGCGTGTCTCCAGATACCCTGCCACACTGTAATTGTGTTATAAATAACTGGATTATTTTTAACATCTCTTGATATCTTCCTCCTATCACCAGTAACAATACTCCATAAGCTGGTAAAGATACTCAGTCATCCAGGACATGATGAATTCAAAAAACGTTCAATACAAAACAACTGGACTTTATTTGTAACAGAAGACGTTTCGCTCCTCATCTGAGGAGCTTTATCAATTCAAAGAGCAGTGAGTAAGGGATTCAGGTTATAAGGCTGAGTGAGATAAGACACACACATAAGACACACACACATATGTAGATTGGCAGTTCACACCTAAACACCTTAACAGTAGGTCTTTGTTAATCTAATTCACAGACGAGGCCCCTCTGTTCCCATCAAGTGTGAAAACCGGCTGGGAATTTATTTTAAAGTTGCATTATATGTTTTTGAAAGTGGAAATCTGAGGCCTCCT